AAAAAATGAGGATATTCGAGCGTTCATTATTCAGCGCAAGACATTGTTTCGTTGAAACTTTAAATGAAGGTAAACAATTTCGGAAAGAAGAGTACGACATCCTTCAACAGTGGCATGACTTCATCGAAAAAAATTTGATATTCAGCCAGATTTAATTATATATTTGAGAGCAACGCCCAATGTACTCCTCGATCGCATATATCAGCGCGGAAGATCAGAAGAAATAAACAGTATTACTTTAGATCAACTTCAACGGCTACATGAACTCCATGAAGACTGGCTGATATATAAAAAACATGGGGATTCAATACCAATTCTAATTTTAGATGCAAATTTAAATGAAATGAAAATCAAAGATGAATATGAAAAATTATTGAATGTAATTTTAGCATTAAAAAAATAAATCTTATTTTTTTATTAATATTTTGAGAGTGGGGATAAGGAAATGTGCCCCCAAAACTATCATATCATGACAAAATGGATTGATTCTTCAGTCTCATTTGAACCTTCAAACTATGAATAGTTTAGAAAACCACATGAAAATAGAAGTAAAAATGGATATTGACGCAACTGATGTCTGTTCAAATCAATGCAGCACCGAATTCAATACAACAGAGTATGATTATATATTCGTAGATATAGTTGGTTTTATCAATCGCAATCATTTTATTTGTAAAGAATTTGCTTTGATTGATGGCGAATACATATATCATGCCATCATAAAACCTCCGTATAGTTTGTCTAAAGTTCCAATCCACGATCGTCAAATGATACAATGGGAAATTAATCATATTCATGGACTGAAATATACGGATGGTGATGTCAATCTATTAGAAGTGCTTCAAACATATACACGTTTAATGTCAAAGAAAATCGTAATGGAAAATGATTCAAAAATGGAAACTCTGAAGCATATGTTTCGTAATTGCGGGGAACTTAAGTGTGCGAGCATTGAGAGCAGCAACTTTGACTTGGAACTGCAAGGCGAAAAAAACTACCCAACATGCGATAACCACGAAGCAGGTATACTTGTTTCATCCGCGTGTGAATGCGCTTTATCCACTGCTCTTAGATTAAAAGAAATTACAATAAATAACTTGAATTTAATAAATGACAATAGAATTAGTAGTAGCCCCTTGAAGTAACAAAAAATATATAAAATAAAAATGTATATTTTTAAGCGTTTGACTTTGTAAAACTACGAAAAAAAAACATAAATAAAAAAAACGGTTTTTTTTTTTTAATTTAAAAATTCTGCATTTTTATTTCGAAATCTTATTTTTCTTTTATTTTTATTTCTTAAATCACAAAAGAACTTTGATATAAAAGTGTTCTTATAATTTAAAACTCGGAACATTTTATTTAAAGCCAATCTTACTATTCTATGTATAAATGAATTCTTTTTTCTTTTATTTTTTATTTATTTTAAATTTGAAAACTTGAATCTAAAAACTAGAAAAAAAAGGGCTTAATTACATGTGCAAAAAATAAACAAAAGATCAAAAGGTCATTTTTTAGTGGCAGCTCTCAATTCACTTTTCCACAAATTCGATAAGCAAACGTTTTCCTTCGCGTCCATTGAACACTATATGTAGTTTGTCTGTTTTCATTTTCTTCATTTTGTTGGCAACATCATCGAAACGTTCTGGTAAGATCAAGTATCCATCTTGAATGTTTGCACGTACAGCAGTGCGATTCTTATTGAAATTTTCCGTTTTATATAAACCAAATGACAATATTTTATATGGTTTTCCTTCTTCAAGCGTATCGAAACTGATGTATCCAGCTTTTTTGGCGGAGGCGATTTTATTTAATTCATTAACTGTAGCCATTTTTTCTTTAATTGTTGTACAAAATCTTTATAATATAAATACACAGGCGAAAATTAAATAATAATATTGAAGGGAAAATTTTCACTTTTTTATAAATTTACTGAATTTTAGAAAAGATACAAATACAGGAGGGTGTATGAATCAACCAACGGTTATAACTCAAATGAAGCAAACACAATAATCTACTTCGTTTTATATCATATAGTTTGGATGACTCATGAGAAAAATATGTAAATGTGATTCATTACATAAAAATGTGCTGATCTTTAATGTTTTAGCCAATCATGATTAATCATGAAAGAATGCGATAATGATATGTTTTATATTAGACGACTTATACTAATCTATTAACAATGTTCGTATATGGATTGTACACTACAATATTATCGTGGATTATTAAACAATAAGCTGTTGTCTGTGCTGGAATATTGGCCCTTGTCTGAAATTCTATGCGAATATCTATAATACTTTTCTTAAGAGTTTCATTCTGATGTGTACAATCAATTACAATCATTGGGGCCCAATCTTTGAACTCAGCATATGATAGCAATGGTGCCGTATCATGAGTTGACCTGTCATGATAAAAGGCCTCTTGAAACCGACAATACATTTCGTATGGAATTGCATATTGGTTCTGTATGAAATTAATGTTAAGATTTTCATATGGATAGCACTCTGAATTTAAAAACACCTTCAAATCGGCTAATTGGCAATGGTCAAATCGGCTTTTATCGGCTGTAATAACATTGTTCCTGTTCGTCTGGAAGGCGACCACGATAAATCTTGGCGTATTGAGCTGTGAACTCGCCTTTACACTCCATATATGCTTGTCGCTTTGAGGCAGGACGGGGTATTCATACAATTCCCATGTCCGGAAATTTAATTGAATATCTTGTTTTTTGTTTATAATTTGCATCAGTTTTAATTTTTCCACATCTGATGCAGTGACGTGTGGAATACGCCATTGAATTTTATTGATATTTATGTTTGAGAGATTGTTAGCGCCATAAAAAACATTCAAATCAGTGTTACTGCGCTGTAAAATCAATTCATGTTTTGCGTTCATAATTATGTTACGGTAGTCTTGCGCAAAACCAAAAATGTGCTTCAATGGGATGAAAAAACAAAAGTTGCATGCACTGGATGCAGTATTAGAGTTTTTATTCCAGCTACTAGTCGCTAAACGATTTGATTCGTTTGGGGTATATGAAAGGTACCCTTTGATGAGCGAAGTTATACCAACATTTTTACAAATATCGAGGGGAAAGCCATTCAATTCATATCGAATTTCATTGAATAGAAAACAGGCTGCATTGTTTGAAAAATTTGGCGCCGCTCTTGCAGCTCCTACCGCACCCTCCGGTATGGTAACTGTTACACTGCCTTCGATGTATATGTAACTTTGGTGCGGCAATACATATAGATCCTGATTCTGGATTACTATATGTATTTCATCGTTATGGTTATAAGAAGTTGTATATGGATTATAAACGTGGTCTTGAAAGCTGGTGATTCTATCGTCATACCCTATTGGGGCACGCAGTGCCAAAATTTCACTATTCATCTTGTCGTTTTATTTTTTACTTATTTTCTAACTTCAAATCCAATTTCGGTTAAAAATTTAATGTTTTCCTTTCGCAATGGTTTAATTTTAGAAGATATTTTCTTTGTTTTTGGTTTGTTAGCCCGCGATTGGGGTGTTGTTGTCACTTCCACTGTTTTCGCACTAATGTCTGTAATTTCAGCACGTTTCTTCGCTTTATAGTTTCTATAATTACTAGTGACGTTGTTGCTCTTATAAATTATCATTTTTTTCACGCTGATTTAATTTATTCTTTTAATATGTAATCGTATAGTGATGGTTTCTCCACGGAAATTAATTAAACGATTATTTTGGTCAACTAAGGACAGATTAAGTGTACATATGTTCTTCACGGTGACAGGGAAGTAAATGACATTTTGCGGCACTTCTATTATCTTATATCCTGGCGGAACTCTGGGTGAAAATTCGTGAATCGTGTGAGATAGTTGATTGTTCAAGTAAGAGCCTGTAATAATATTACACTCTACTCGAATAACACTTATTTTTAAAATGTTGGCCGGAAGGTGCGAAATATGAAGTATATTTTCTTGTAAAACTTCATTGCTTTTAAAACCCAACAGTTGACCAATTGTATTTGGTTTAGAAAAATCAATGGGTTGGCTGCATATGAGTTCGCATTGAAGTGTGTTTTTATTTGCTTCCAATTCAAATATAATATTCTCCGCTTCTAGCGTTCTCTTCAAATATTTCGATAAATGCTCTACTTCATATGATCCAGTGGGTATTTTAATATATGCTAATGGGCGCTTCTGTCTGGCCGGGATAGCTCTTCTTCTCCGCCCCATGTATTGAATAACATTATACTGATTTTCATTTCGTTTTTTATCATTTTTAACAATTTCTGGTGAATTTATTGTTGCTTCATCCGTCGTGCTTTCATCAATATGGCTTCTGTTGTCGTTGTTATCATTTTGTTCTTTTTTAATATTTTCATGGCCATAATAAAATAAATCGTTCGTTTCATCAATATTTGGAATTGAATTGAATGTCTGGAAATCAATCAGGCCACATGCATAATTACCTTCGCTTAAGTCAATCGAAGGGAAATATTCAGCCTGCAGTTGTGATGAATTGCCGGTCAATGTCAATGTTATCGACGGCATGGTTAAAATACGACTAAATGGTTGAATGAAAGGGATTTCAATTTTATTCATTGAATTTCAACAAAAGAATTCATTTTGAATAATTTAAAAAATAAAAAAGTCAAGGGAAAAAAATCTTTTGCAAATTTTTGTATGGTTTTTGGCAGATTGGGCACTTTTCAAGTACCAAAGCACATTTTGCACATGCAAATATATGCCCGCACGCAATAAATACGCAGCTATATTCGTTTTCATAACAAATTCGACACTTTCTTGAATCATGTAATTTTTTCATTCCATTTTTCACGGCACTTTTCATCGCCATCTCTTACACATTTGATGCGTAAAAAAAAAGGGGGAGGGGGTCTATATTTAAATGATAGATTAATTGGTGTTGCCCATCAGTCTAAGTTAAACTTTGTTCACGATTTGATCAGAGAACTGAATTTGAGAAGTGAAAGAAACTGAACTGAGGCGGTCAAAATGGAAGCAGTCGAAAGCATGGATATTGATTTGGAGACTTTAAGTGAGTCTGAAACAGGCAGTGCTGAATACGATGAATTAGAAGAAAAATACATATTCGTAGATGTTATTGGATTCTTCAATCGCCAACATTTTATTTGTAAAGAATTTTCTTTGATTGATGGCGATTACAAGTATCATGCCATCATTAAACCACCATATAGTATGTCTAAGATTCCAATAAATGATCGCCAAATGCTAAATTGGGAAATCAAACATCTTCATGGATTAAAATATGATGATGGTGATGTTTTTCTTTTGGATGTGATTGAAGCGACATATTCCCGCTTCAAAAACAAGAAAATCATAGTGGAGAATGATTATAAAGGAAATGCGCTAAAATACATCTTTCGTAATTGCGGTGAATTTAACTTCCTGAATATCGCAAAAATGGGCTTCGACTTGGATTTACAATGTGATGATTCATATACACCCTGCGGCAAACATGGCGATATACTTGATGGTACGATGTGTGAATGTGCCCTTATCACCACACTTAGATTAAGAGAAATAACTAAAAATAATTCACAACTATTGAAATATTTTACACAATCAACAATAAACCATTAAAAAATATATATAAGCAATGAATGTAAAAGTAATGAGTAGAATTCATGACTAATTTGAATGGAATTTGTATGACTCATCACAGAAAAAATTTAGTGACTAAGTCAAATGGAATTTGTATGACTCATCAGAGAAAAATTTAGTGACTAAGTCAAATGGAATTTGTATGACTCATCAGAGAAAAATTTAGTGACTAAGTCAAATGGATTTTGTATGGCTAAGCCGAATAAAGTACATTGTTTACATAATATTGTTGAAGAAATAAAATCATTTTCTTTATTTTTGAAACGAGTTGTTTAAATTAAAATGTCAGTATATCCTACGACATTACCCAGAATAGTACTATTTTCTGATTTTCTAAAATGGCTACACGACCTGGAATTAAAGTTATTGAAAAGAAAACTGCTTTCAAAAAACGCATACGAGTTTATTCGTATCTAAATATTGATTACATTGATTTGACACCATTTTTTTCCGAATCAAAAGAGATATTTATTCATTATACAAAATGGTTACTGAGAGCGCTAACGCGCGTAAAAGTATACACGATTTTGGAAGCGAAATTCAAACGACCAAAAGTTGCTTCAAACGACGAGTTTGAAGAACAAATTGCAACTTTTTATCTACAAAGTAAGCTCACAGAAGTGAATTTAACAACTAAACTGAAACAATGGTTCAAAACAAATATCATTGATGTTATAATGACCAAAGTTGATGAATTACAAGAAAATGGTTCTGGTTGGACTCTCCATGAGATAATATCTTTAGATGTACACTATAACAAACTGACGGGATTTCGTGGAAGCTCATATTTAAAAGCACCAAAATGGGTGCAGAACAAAAAAGCTATTGTCAATGTTCAAAATAATGACAATGAGTGTTTTCGATGGGCAATACTTTCGGCTTTACATCCGGCCACTAAAGATACAAGCAGACTTTCTAAATATGAACGCTTCAAACATGAGCTGAATTTTGAAGGCATAAAATTTCCAGTTAAACTAAACGATATATCCATTTTTGAACAACAAAACCCCGATATTTCCGTAAACGTATACATTATTCAGAGAGAGTACTCATCTTTTACAGAACGGAGTGAAAATGCTATTGTGCCAGTAAGATTGACTGAACATGTTAAACAGCATCATATCCATTTGTTATTATTATTTGAGTGTTCAGAAAGGGTTGAAGATGAAAGTGATGATGGGTTGGAGTGCTCAAAAAATGTAATTGATATGATTGAGAAATCAACTAACACACACTATGTTTGGATAAAAAATTTAAGTGCACTTATTCAAAAACAAGTTACGAAAAAGAATCGCGCAAAAAAGTATGTTTGCGACCGTTGCCTTCAATATTTTTACAGTGAAGAAAAATTGGATGATCATACACTTCAGTGTGAATCACTAAATAAGACCAAAATTACTATGCCGGACTGGAGAAATTGCTGGATTCGTTTTTCAAATTTTAAGAATACGATTGAAGTTCCATTTATAATTTATGCAGATATCGAATCAATCTTGGTACCAAGAGATAATCCTTTAAACATAGCTGGTAGCAAAACTCCAAAAGGTGCTTTCCAAGAACATATTCCAAATAGTATTGCATACTATTTTCATTCGCGAATCGATCCAAATCTATCGCAATACGAAAGTTTTTATGGGGAGGATTGTATAGATCAGTTCATTCAGAAAATGGAATTTTTAATGCGGAATATAGTGTGGCCAAAAATACATGAAATTAAACCAATGGCATTGACTGAAGAAGAGGAAAACGATTTTAAAGAGGCGTATGAGTGTCATATTTGTAAAAAAGGCTTCAACGATAAATGGAAGCACAGATACAAGAAGGTACGCGACCATTGCCACCTGACGTCAAGGTATCGTGGAGCCGCGCATTCAAAATGTAATCTGCAATTTCAAATATCCAAATCAATTCCAGTGGTTTTTCATAACTTAGATTATGATTCTCATTTTTTGATTGAAAAATTAGCAAACGCTTTCCCCGGTAAAATGACTATAATTCCAAAAAACAGCGAACATTATATTTCATTTTCCAAACAAATGCCAAATTACAATGATAGTGAGAACATGGAAATCGATGATAGCGAAGGAAGCGAGTACGATCCTAAAACTGATTTTGATATGGAAAGCAGTGATGATGAAGGGAGCATAGCTGAAACTGAAAGTGAAGATGATACTGAAAACGGCGAGGAAACTGAAAATGAAAATACTAAATATCGTGAAAAATTGAAATTGAGATTTATTGATTCTTATAGATTTTTGCAATGTTCATTGGCAAAACTGGCCGAGTCTTTGCCAACGAGTTCATTGAAAATAACACGAAGTCAGTGGGCGAATTTGAATGAAGAACATTTTCAATTGCTGACAAAAAAAGGTGTTTATCCATACTCGTATATTGATTCGTGGGAAAAACTTAATGAACCCAAATTGCCAGCAAAAGAACTATTTTATGACGAGCTTAATGATTCTGAAATATCTGATGAGCAATACTCCCATGCGCAAAACGTATGGAATACATTCAATATTCGTACACTGCAAGAATACACTAAGATTTACCTGAAAACTGATGTACTTTTGTTAGCAGATATTTTCGAAAATTTTCGAGATAACTGTATTAAACTGTACGGATTAGATCCGGCCCATTACTATACTCTACCGGGCTATTCATGGGATTGTATGCTAAAGTATACCAATGTTGAAATCGAGCTTCTCACAGATATTGATAAATTGATGTTTGTTGAACGCGGTTTACGCGGCGGTATCAGCCAATGTTCGAACCGCCACTGTGAAGCAAATAACAAATACCTTGGAGCAGACTATGACCCAGAAAAACCATCAAATTACATCATGTACTTTGATGTTAATAATCTTTATGGATGGGCAATGAGCCAAGCGCTTCCAATATCTGATTTTATATGGAATGAAGACAATTATTCTAGTGTTGAAGAAATCGAACAGGAAATTATGAATACGCCGGATGATGCAACATATGGTTCATTTCTGGAAGTGGACTTAGAATATCCTGAGAATTTGCACGATAAGCACAACTGCTATCCCTTTTGCGCAGAACATATGAATGTGGGTGATTCTGCAGAGGAAAGACTAGTCCTAACGCTTCACAATAAAAAAAACTACATTATACACTATCGTATGCTTAAACTTGCTTTGAAGCATGGCTTGAAACTGAAAAAAGTTCACAGAATTTTGGAATTCAAACAATCAAAATGGTTGGAAGACTATATCATGTTGAACACGCATGAACGCGCAAAAAGTAAAACTGAATTTGAAAAAAATCTCTTTAAGCTCATGAATAATGCCGTGTTTGGTAAAACTATGGAGAATATTAGGAAACGTGTGGACATTAAATTAATCAACAAATGGGATGGAAGATATGGAATGAAAATATTAGTCGCTAGACCAAATTTCAAACGTGTCGTTGTGTTTAATGAGAATCTTGTCGCATGTGAACTGCAACGATTAAATGTTTTTATGACAAAACCAGTAATTGTAGGCGCTGCTATATTAGAAATTTCAAAATGTAAAATGTATGAATTTCATTATGATTTCATTCTACAGAAATTCGACTATGAGCATTGTCAAATTCAATACACTGATACTGACTCATTTTTGTATAATTTCATATGTGAAGATGCATATGAATTCATCCGAGAAAACAAAGAAAAATTTGATACCAGCGATTTCCCGCCAAATAATCCATATCACATCCAACAGTTTAACAAAAAGGTCCTTGGAGTGATGAAAGATGAGTACTCTGGAGAAATCATAAAAGAATTTATTGGGTTGCGATCCAAAATGTATGCAATCAAATCGAACAAAATTGATAAAAAGAAAAAGGAAAAAGGAGTTGATAAAAAGGGTAAAGGAGTGAAGAAAAATATATTAGATAAAAAAATTACATTTGAAGATTATAAGCGTTGTATCAATGAACAATGTGAACTAAAAAAAGATCAAGTTACTATAAAATCTTTTTTACATAACGTATATACAGTGAAAAATGAGAAAAAGGTCTTGGATCCATTCGATCAGAAAAGGTTCCGCATACCAAACACTCATAGTACGCTAGCGTGGGGGCATTACAAAATAGGCATGCTTAAAAACACATGAAATAAGCCATTTGGCGGTAGTTATATTTTTAGATTCGTAGTGAACGGACGCAAAATATATTGACTAAGATTATTTTAGCTCTAATCACATTTTAAACTTTAAATACATCGAAATTCAGTAGATTCATGCCTTTTAAGAACCCATTTAAAAAAGAAAAGAAAAAAGACGACCGTGGGTCATCAAAATTTTCGAACATAAAATATGAAAGATTGAGAGAGTCACCATCTCCAACACGCCACACGCAACCCCAAAATTCAACTCCGAAAGATCCACCCCCAGTACCACCTAGACCGCAGAAGAAGAAAGCTGAAGAAAAGAATTTGATAGACTTTGATTAAAAAATAAATTGAAAATGGGCGCTTTAAGTAGCAAAAACAACTTTGTATTTTATAATGATGTAAAAATACATAAATGTAAAGTTATTGGAAGAAAAAAGACGAAAAGTTATTATTATCAGTACCTATCTGGTTTAACTTTGGATTTGGATGTTGTGAACGATGCGCAAAAATACAGAAAAAAAATCGTTTCTATTCCAGCGAACTGTAGCTGTTCAGAGACAACTGTAACATTGCATATTTTTAATCAAATGGCCATTTCCAATCACTATAAACCTAATCAAATCTATGAATACGGAAAAAAGCAAGAGTTGTGCACGAAAAAAGGATTCAATTACTGGCTTGTTGAAATTACACGTTCAATATGGAAAGATGACGCAGAATTTAATTCGTTTATAGAAGGATTGATGCCGGGAACTCTGTTCTATGATGGAAGCTTTATACAAAGAATTGCTGAAAAGATGCAACAAAAGCTTGATTTTGATCATCCACTGATAAAAAGTGAGCCAGAATTTTTGGAAACCTTGAACAAGTTCATCAAGTTAGGTTTAGAATTGAAGACAAATTCTGTGGTTACAAATACCATAACAGTTTGAATTTACGATAGCTGTAGCATAAATATTTTTTAGAATCCGCAAAAGTATTTAAATGGTAAAATTGAAAAGAACAAAAAACATTTTTTATTATTTAATATTTATTAAAATAAAACATTGTGTACAATAAATAAATGATAAAATGCCGCAATACTCTTTTATTTCTTCTCATTTTTGAGTTTACTTCTTCTTCTTCTTTTCCGGTGGTGGCATTCCCCCCCTTTTCACGTAAGCGTCCTTCAGAATGCCTCTAAGCTGATGAATATGCGCCGTCATCTTGTGGTTATCTAATTGATTAAGCGTATTAAACGCCATACTGCATAAACTGCACTTATAACACATCTTTTATCTTTCTATTACTTGGATTTTCTCACGACCGTACAGGTTGATTGCAACTCTCAAAATGATGAGAAGAAGCCCAAGAAAAAGAATTTTATGCACTTAGTAGAAAACACACTTAAATATCAAGCATTCTTACACAAACTATTCTGCACGCACACATGCGGCAAACACACAAGACGGCTCACACGTACACTATACGTGTGACACCAATACAAATATGCGTCAGAAGTAACATTCATTACACTACTACAATCGAACAAAAGTTGTTCGTTTGTGAAGTGATAGGGAAAATCGGACCTCATTATTTTACAGTGTTATGTGTCATGTTGCTACCATGCCTTTAGAGGATGAAAGGTCCTTCAATGCTGAATAGTACACAACCATTTGATTGTCAAAAGTCATCACGGGAATATGGAGACCAAAACTCTGAAACTTATAATCCCAAAACATGGCAAAAAGAAGCCCATCAAACAGTCGACTATTTGACCACCCAAAAGATCGAATTGATGCACAATACTCCGTGTACGAATTATTCGGGACCCCTCTGTCCACCAGAGACCAAAATCAGTTGGATACAATATATTTTTCGTACTTGAAATTAGGTGCATATTCAAAAAAGTGCATTTTTTGGAGTGTCATGTTTAAGCTGCTGTCGTAGCCATACCACAAAACTAAAATTCGTCCTGTTAAGTCAAATGGTCATGAAAAATGTCCAACTTCACGAATATGACAATGGTTTGCATCGGGCAATACTAAAACATACATATTGAAGAAACTTAAATAGTCGCCTACGTATTATCGCATTTCGCCAAAGTCACTGCTCCAAAAATCGGCTCAGATCCAAAAACAAATCTTGAACATTAACCATTTTTTGTTTGAACAAGCGATCAGAAAAAAACCTAAAATAATACAAAGAAAAATAACATACGAGGATTAATTCAGAAAAGAATATTGCAAAGCTCAAATCCTAATCGGATTCCGAACAATGGGAACACATTACAAACTTAGCGAGCTGTTTAGTTTCGATTTGAGTAAAGTAGATTTGTAATTTAATAACATTGACGTTCCCTTTGAAATGAGGGGCACCACCGTCGACTCAAAGAGACTTGAACACTATACATCCTCACAATGATTTAACCTGAATATATTGGTTCGCAACACAGCATATTAACAAAGTGCCGGATCTATAATTCAAATCTTCTTT